ACGCAGGCCGGCCCTTTGCATTTTCCAGGATGGCCTTGCAGGCCGGATCTGACCACAGGACAGGCCGGGTTTGGCCCGCAGGCCTCCTGTTTGACTCCCCCTAGCTTATGGTCACAAATTGGGATCAGAATCTCCATCACTAAGCAATGTGGTTGTTAAGCGAGACGTGCATGTTTAGTTTATGTGTTTTTCACTTTTTACTGTTTTACCCCAACGGCCACATACCGGAGCTGGGATGGTGACTCATAGCCAGCGTGGCTGTGGATGCGCGCGGTGTGCTGTCGGAGGAGGAGGAGGAGGAAGGGAAGCGGCGAGCGTGGCACTCCACCTCCACCTGGTTCTTGCAGTGTTTGTGACAGATCATGGCACAATCTAGAGAGAATCACAACAACAACAACCACCACAAAAGGGGGCTTCAAATCAAAGCAGTGACAAGATGAATTGTTACCCGCCCCCAGTGGCTCCTGCTCCCAGTCTTCTCCAACCTGGTACTACAACACCCATGGGGCTGGGTCAAGGCACTTTTACTGCTTCAGTACTAAGGATACACATACACAAATACACTTTAAGGGGCTGCTCAAATACACAATTTTCCTCCCGATGCAGGAACGTCACTTAAGGAGGGGGTCAAACTCCAAATAAGGATGAGATGAGATCAGGAGAACATTCAACTATGATTTCCATTAAGATTTTTTAAAAACTTAATAGCTGGAGCAGCAGAGTTGTAAAGTGAGACAGAACACACAGTTGTGGTTCATTGGTACCCGAGTGTACAAGGGGAGTATTGTTTTTATACTCTGCCTTTTTTCTCCCCTGTGTATGTGTAATTTACCTCACGATGTTCCTGCGGTGTTGATTTACCTCAGGATGCGCCCGTTTGCCTGATTATCTAGTTCGGTGTACATGCAGATTGCAAATATATTTATTTATATTTGAAACTACAAGCGGGTGTCCGCATCTATGGCTTTTGTTTGGACACCGGATGACAAAAAAGATGAATTTTCAGTTATCCTTAGCATTGTTCTCAGTTATATATTCGGTTATTGTTAGCGTTATTCTCCAGCTCACGATAGACTCCTGGCTGCTCTAGTTGGTAGGTTTCTTGCAGATGTTTCATTACCAAACTAGGTAACGTCATCAGTGCCAGAAGAAGGTGGGGATTGTGGAGAGGAGGAGGAGGAGAGGAGGAGGGGGAGGAAGAGGAGGAGGAAGAAGAGGACAACGACTGTGGGGGTCCTTGGTGCTCTTGGAGACGTTTCATTACC